AGTAGAGGGCGTGTCGTCTGCTGTTTCACTGGTAACTTTTGTAGTTTGAAATATTTCTTTTAAGTCCGCAGCAATGTTATAATACATCTCTTTAGACACCTCAGGCAGCTTCTCAGCCTCCTCCCTTTTCTTCCTCCGTTTTGCTTTACTGCAGGGACACATACAGACACGCACGTCACAAAGAGACCATCAGCTGCCAGAAATTAGAACACCTTGGAAAACTAACCCATTCTTTCAACAACCCAGAGGATCCACATATGAAACTCTACTCATAAAAGCAGAATCTTGACCAATAAGCTTTTAATACAGAAAACCATGTCAAACAGCTCCAAACATTACACAAGAATATCTCCCTCCCATCCTGAGTTACATTCCATAAATCACACCTAAGATATTAGTTTTAAGAAAATCACTTAACCACAAAAGGCCTCAGTTTCCTCACCTGCAAAATGAACATGCTAAACCCGATAACTTTTAAGATCTTTACAAGTTCTAAAGTTCTGTGAATTTTGGGGCGCCTGGGTGGCTAAGTCGGTGGAGCTTCTGACTCGATTTCGGCTCAGGTCATGATCTCACGGTTCGTGTGATGGAGCCCCACATTGGGCTCCATGCAGACAGTGCAGAGCCAGCTTGGGATTCTCTCTCTGCTCCTCCCCTGCTCGTATTGTCTCTCTCTCTCAAAATAAAAATAAACATTTAAAAACTAAAATTCTGTGGCTTTTACAACATTGGTTTTAGAAATGAATTATAAATGTGCTAAGTCTACTCTGTTTTGATATGGAATGTTGATGTCATTCTAAACCTGCTCTGCATTTATTTTTGTCTTTGAAGTCGGGATAAAAAGTTCCATGATTATTTCCAATACTGGGTTTTTAACTATTACAAGACTAAAAGCATTCTTCCTATTAGAGTCCACTCCATATATCATGAGTAGTATTGGGCCAAAATTCTAACTGTATTACCTATTCTAAAATACTAAGTGAACAAGATGTCCTAAATGAATGCCTTCTTGAGGGAGACTGTCACAGAGAGATACTTTTAATACTTCATTTAGAAAACCAACCTGGCCAGGATTTAAGGACAGATATGCCTTCTATGGGACTGAACTCTGAGAAACGGTGTACTTCAGACAGTTCCACATGATTATCACTGAACCATCTTATGGCATTTTTATTTTTAGTAATATAATTTATTGTCAAATTGGCTTCCATACAACACCCAGTGCTCATCCCATATGGCAGTTTTAAAAGTGGTCTAAAGATACTTTGATCCATTTTTATGATGTGGGAGTTAATTTCCCATCCCTTGAGTGTGGGCTGGACTTAATGACCTCTTGAGGAGTGGAGTAAGGCTGATGTGACCATGTGTGATTATGGAGATGAGGGTCACAAGGTTCTCCTTGCTCTCTCCCCGCCCACACCACCCACCGTCTCTGGGGGAAGCCAGCTGCCATGCCCTGAGGGCACTCAAACAGCCAAACAAGAGGCAAGAATGGAGGCCTCCTGCCAACAGACGTAGGTGAGCCATCTTGCAGGCAGTCTTGAGCCCTCGGAGAATGCAGCTTTCTGAGAGCCCCTTAACTACCCAGTAAAGCACTCCCAAATTCCTGACCCACAGAAATTGGGACCTAATAAATCTTTAAGGCCAAGCTATTCAGTCTTGGGGAAGTTTTTTACACAGATTCATGATGGATGCAGATTTTGGTACCGAGGTGTGAAGTGCTGCTCTAACAAATCTAAACCAGAGGAGGGGCTGCACAGACCAGGTAATGGGCAGGTCAGGAGGCAGCAATGAGGGTGTAGGCAAGAGCCTGAAGAGCCTTGCAGAAACTGCCAGTAGAAACTACATAGCCACTGAGGAGGCTGCAGGTAGGGCTGTGGGAAATCGAGGTAAACACTACTGGAAACCTGGGGGAAAGGGATCCTTGTTATGCCATGGCAGGAAGTTCAGCAGCACTGCATCATCTCTGTTAAAGTGGGCCCTGGGACATGCCTATGAACAAGAAGCTAGCTAGGAAGGTGTCTGGGAAGGTCTGAGGGTATTTGCTGGTTTCTTCTTGCTGCTTGCAGTACAACGCGAGCAGATAGTTTCACCGAAGGAAGATATTTCTTATAAGAAGCTAGGACCTCATGGTCTTGAAGACTCCTAGTTTCTAGAACACAAATGACATGAAATTTAAGAACTGGCTTCTAAGCAAAGAGCAAATCTAAGACTCAGAAAACATAGTCTAAAGCAGGCGTTAGCAAACCAGAGCCCAAGGACCAAAGCCGGGTTGTTGCCTATTTATGTGTGGGATGCAAGCTACAATGCAATCTTTTACAGTCTGAAATGGTTGGAAAAAATAAAGAGAAAATGACTTTGTGACATGGAAGATTACATGAAATGCAAATGTTAGTGTCTTACTGGTAATTTTATTGGAACCCAGCCTCCCTCACTCACATATTGCCTGTGACTGCTTTCCTATTACAAAGGCAGACTGGAGTACTGCAACAGAGACCTTGTGGCCTGCAAAGCCTAATATATTTACTCTCTGATCTTTTAACAGAGAAATGTGTAGACCCCAGTCTAAATATAAAACAAAATCCTTTGTTAAGACCATAGCCATAGCCCAGAAACTTCAACTGTTCAAACGAGGCTCCTGAGGAATTTAAAGGTGGTGTCTCAGCAGACGTCCACAGGAAAATAAGCTGGTCTCCAAATGATCTGTGGGTGTGGCTCCTGTCTAATGGGAGTGAACCCATAGGAGATTCACAGGAGATTCACAAATATTTTAAGAGAAATAGGTTAAGAGAAACACAAGCCTGGATTGATAGGTACCGTGATATTCTACAAGGAAAAGGCTTTTGGATTCCCACATTTCTACTAGGAAAAAGAAGGCTGAGAAAATTACTTAGCCACAACCCCATGCGACCGTTCATGAAAAAGGAAGGATGATCCAAAAGGCGGAGTCAAGACCGTGGAGAATTATTACCAGGCCCACAGTTCTAACCTAAGAACTCCCAATGTTTGTCCAAAGCTTTTTTGTCAAAATGTTTGTCAAAGCTCTTCCGGACTGGTGCCCCCTGTGCCTCCTGTATCCTCTCTGGACAGCAGAGCTCACGGTGGCCATCCTGTACCTGTCCTACCACTGTGTTCGAGAATGGGCAGTAACCAGTCTCTCTGGTTCACAGTTCTCTCCCGTCTCTAATTACAAGACCTGCACTCAAGGTGTCGTACTCTAGGAATTACAACATTCAGCCTCATTTGCCCCTAGATGGGATTTGGATGACAGCATCCCAGATTCTGAATGGATATTGTAGAAGTGAGGGTCCTGGGGAAGCCAGGGAGGGGGTGAGCATATTTTCCATGTGGCAGGAATATAAACAATCTGTGCCAGGAGGTGCATAACGGTGGTTTTAAATGTGTTCACAAATTCCTCGTCACTTCTCCCTTTGAGAGGTGGTGTTTACAAGCCACACCATCCCCCCAATCAAACTATGAGTTGGACTTAGAGACTTGTTTCAAGAAAACCGAACAGGGCCGATTGTCAGTGTGTGGCTCAAGGCTAGGTCATAAAACACACCGTGCCTCCTCCTCCTCTTTTGGGTCACCGGCTCTGAGGGAAGACAGCTGCCCTGTTATGAGGGCACTTAAGCGGCCTAATGGAGAGGCCAACAAGGTGAGGGACTGGCCCACAGCCGTGAGAAGGAGCCATCTTGGAGGCAGGCCATCCAGCCTCAGTTGAGCCTGCGGAGACTGAAGCCCAGGGCAACATTCTGACCACAACCTCTTGAAAGACCCTGGCCAGAACCACCTACAGAGGCTGCTCACAGAAACTTTGAGGTTCTAAGTCTTTGTGGTTTTAAGGTGCTAAGTTTCAGATAATTTTTAATGCAACAATAGATAATACATCCTACATATAAAAATAAATATACAAAATATACCCTACTCAAATGCCACGTTCAATGTGGGTTATTTGGAATAACATACAAAAATTCTACATTGCAGAAAATGTTTATATTACTTCTACTTTGGTCTGATCTGATTCTTTTTATTTTTTTTTTTATTTTTTATTTTTTATTTAAAAAAAAATTTTTTTTTTCAACGTTTATTTATTTTTGGGACAGAGAGAGACAGAGCATGAACAGGGGAGGGGCAGAGAGAGAGGGAGACACAGAATCGGAAACAGGCTCCAGGCTCTGAGCCGTCAGCCCAGAGCCCGATGCGGGGCTCGAACTCACAGACCGCGAGATCGTGACCTGGCTGAAGTCGGACGCTTAACCGACTGCGCCACCCAGGCGCCCCGTGATCTGATTCTTTTTAAAAGAAACCTTTAATCTTGGAAAAATTTTAGATTTACAGAAAGGTGACAAAGACATTACATCATTCCCAAATAGCCTTCACTTAGTTTCCCCACATGGTAGCATCTTCCGTAACTCTGGTACAATGGTCAAAACAAATAGATTAACATAGGGTCATCGCTATTAACTTAACTCAAACCTTATTCTCATTTCCCGTTTCTCCACAGATATCTTTTTTCTTCCAGGATCTAATTCAGAATACCACATGCCTTTAGTGATTTTCACAGCCCGAAAATGAAGGAATTAAACGAGGCAGACTTGGTGGTTGCTCCACACATGTGCCGTATTTGTCAAACTGATAGGGCATGTATGGGAAACACAAGTTCCTACCACGCTGAAGGAGTGAGACGACTGAATCGCTGCCCTCAAAAAGAGATGTCCAGGCCCTACTTTCTAAAACCTGTGAACATTACCTGATTTGGAAAAAGGGTTTTTGCAGAGTTTTTTTAAGTACCTTGCAAAGAAGAGATTTTCCAGGATTATCCAGACAGGCCCTAAATGTAATCACAAGTGTGCTGATAACAGACACAGAGATGAAAGATGCAGAGAAGAGGAGGCCACATGAAGACAGATATAGAGACTGCAGTGATGGAGGAACACAGCCAGGTGAGGACCACCATGGGCTGCTGGCAGGCACCTGAGGCCAGGAGAGAGGTGGGAACAGATGTTTCCCCTGAACGCAAGAGAACGTAGTTCTTCCAATAACCTTGACTTCAGACTCCCAGTAACTTTTGTGGTTTTAAGGCAGTGAAGTTTGTGGTGATTTGTTACAACAGCCACAAGAAACTAATACAAGTAGGAGGCACCAGAGCAGCCCAGGAGCACATGCCATTTACTTGCATGAGACTTCTTTGTTAAAAGGTAAGACTTTCGGGGCGCCTGGGTGGCGCAGTCGGTTAAGCGTCCGACTTCAGCCAGGTCATGATCTCGCGGTCCGTGAGTTCGAGCCCCGTGTCAGGCTCTGGGCTGATGGCTCGGAGCCTGGAGCCTGTTTCTGATTCTGTGTCTCCCTCTCTCTCTGCCCCTCCCCCGTTCATGCTCTGTCTCTCTCTGTCCCAAAAATAAATAAACGTTGGAAAAAAAAAAAAAAAAAGGTAAGACTTTCTCCACCACACCAAAAATGCTACTCTAACTTTTCCCTCCCTGGTCTTAAATTCAATGCAATGTGGACCAATGGATAGATATTGGCTACTATCTACTACTATTGTCTGAAATGAGATTAATTTCTATGATCCTCCTCCAGAGAGAAGTAGCTGACTTACCTTTCTTTTGGCTTATCATCGGTCTTCCTTTCGTAAGTGGCATGGTCATGCCTTGTTGGATCATAACGTATGACATCCCTATGTAAACGACAGACAGGAATAAATTGGGAGAGAGAAATCAGAACATAATGCAAAAAGTTAATAGTAAATCGTTAAGTCGACATTGGAGCTATTCCAATTTTTTAGCAAGACAAAACCACACAACCAAAGAAGAGTGTCAGAATCTTGTTAGAGACAGTCATATTTTAAATTACCCAGTTTTGAGTTTCCCTGGATCTTTTTTTAACATTAAAAACTATTTTACACTTACTAAAATATGGATAAAACTGGATTTGCATAAAATATTTTAGGGGGGAAAGGTTGGGGAGGTGAGTAAAGGTATAGAAAGGAAAACTGGGGATGCCCAGCTGGCTCAGTCAGTAGAGCATGTGACTCTTGATCTTAGGGTGCTGAGTTCAAGCCCCACTTTGGGTGTAGAGTTTACATTAAACTGATAAGAACAGATACTACACTTGATCTTAGCCAAAAGGCCGAGAAGCGATGTAGAGTTTACATTAAAACAAAACAAAACAAGGGGCACCTGGGTGGCTCAGTTGGCTAGGCATCCAACTTCAGCTCAGCTCATGATCTCGCAGCTCATGAGTTTGAGCCCTGCATCAGGCTCTCTGCTGTCAGCATGGAGCCCATTTCGGTTCCTGTCTCCCTCTGCCTCTGTCCCTCCCCAGCTCATGCTTTCCCTTTGTCTCAAAAATAAATAAAAACATTAAAAAAAAATTAAAACAAAAAAACAAAAAAAAGAAAAGAAAACTGGTCACATGGTAGTGATTGTAGAAGCTGGTGTATAAGGAACACTAGTCTTTCCAAATTATGTGTTTAAAATTTTCTGTAGTATAAACTGCTACATTTATAAAGTTTCACAGTATTTATTTATTTAATTTATTTATTTATAAATGTTTATTTATTTTTGAGACAGACAGAGACAGAATGTGAGTGGGTTAGGGGCAGAGAGAGAGGGAGACACAGAATCTGAAGCAGGCTCCAGGCCCTGAGCTGTCAGCACCAGAGCCTGACACGGGATTCAAACCCATGAGCCGTGAGACCATGATCCAAGCCAAAGCCGGACACTCAACTGACTGAGCCACCCAGGCGCCCCAATATTTATTTTTTAAAGCAGGCTTCACCCCTAGCACAGAGCCCAACATGAGGCTTGAACTCGCGATCCTGAGATCAAGACATGAGGTGAGATCAGGAGTTGGATACTTGGGGCACCTGGGTGGCTCAGTGAGTTGAGTGTCTGACTTCAGCTCAGGTCACAATCTCTTGGTTTGAGTTCGAGCCCCGCATCAGGCTCCGTCCTGTCAGTGTGGAGCCTGCTTGGGATTTTCTCTGTCTCTCAGCCCCTCCCACATTTTCTCAAAAATAAATAAAGGTAAAAAAAAAAAAGTTGGACACTTAACTGAGCCATGCAAGTGCCCCTACAGTTAATATTTAAATCACTGTCCAGCTGCTTCACTAATGGAAGCAATGCTGTTGTGACATCTAAGTACATAAACAGAAAAAATTTAAGATTAGTTTCCTAGAGTGAACCTGGATCAAAGAGAAGTATATTTTTAAGGGACTGATACATACTGCCAACCACACTCCCCAGAACATTTACAATGGTCTACTTTTTTTTAAATTTTTTTTTTTCAACGTTTTTTTTTTTTTTTTAATTTATTTTTGGGACAGAGAGAGACAAAGCATGAATGGGGGAGGGGCAGCGAGAGAGGGAGACACAGAATCGGAAACAGGCTCCGGGCTCCGAGCTGTCAGCCCAGAGCCCGACGCGGGGCTCGAACTCCCGGACCGCGAGATCGTGACCTGGCTGAAGTCGGACGCCCAACCGACTGCGCCACCCAGGCGCCCCTACAATGGTCTACTTTTATACAGAGTGCAATAAGGCATTTATGTCAAAGGAAAATAGGATGGAATGGGATGGTACATAAACCATACTTAAATTTCTTAGCGGCTACTGATCCTTTGTGTGTAGAATCGCTGAGGGTGGTTTGCAAAACACTCTGCACAACGTCCAGAGTTTTGAGCTTCTCGGCAGCAAGCTCTTCTTCCTCGGCAGTTCTGTTGCCGTTTTCCTCTAAGAGGTAAAAGGGTAATTAACAATCTCTTGGCAAACATTACCTGAGCAGTCTCAACCATCAAACATTTACAAGTACCTAAACACGGGCAAAGCACATTCAGACAGGCGAAAGAAGGGCCAAACCCCACCTTCCTAGCCTTCCTGTCCCCACGCCCCTCAGTGCCACAGGGAATCCAGAAGTCTCATGACCAACAAATGAAAAGTCCCATTCTTGTTTGTAATTATGAAAACATAATTGCATTTAATGGCTTTCAGTGGCAACTCAAAAATTCTAAGGTAAATATTGAAAATGTAAGAGCAAGATATTAATTACAAAACTAAAGTAATTAAACTTTTTTTTTTAACATTCTAAAAATGTTATTTAAATTACACGTAAATCTAAAAACAGAAGGTAGTGAAAGATGGCACTGAGAAAAGAACAGTCAGGAGCAAAGATGACCCACATTTGGGAAATGCCCACGTACAAGAGAAGGCTAAAGCCACAGGAACCTACCTACCTACAGAACCTCGGGAACCAGGAACAAGAATTGGGAGAAAACAAGGGAATTTTTGGTACAAAGGGAGCAAAGAGAGGACATCTCAAGTCGGGTGGTCGACAGGGACAGACACCATGGGCAGGCCGGCGAGGCCGAAGCCGAGGAAACACCACTGCACTGAGTGGGGTTGCTCACTGCTGGGAGGCTCCACAAGTCAGAAGAGTGTCGTGTGGACCCAGACCCAAGAGGCAGAGGTTCCGAAAGCAACCTCCACATGCAGCGCTAAATGCAGGCCAATTTGCTCTGCCCGCTCCCGCCTCCTCAGGGAAGTGCTCGAGCGGCTCTGACGGGCACGCTGATGTGGACCCTGCAGAACCTGCTCTCCAAACCCTGGTTTCCAGAAGCGTTTCTGGCACAGGACAATCACCTCAAAGAAGAGAGGGTCAAAGCAAAGAGTGCATTTTCAATAAAAAGCTGTGGGGGATAAGCTTAGGAATCCCCCGGGCTTACAACAATGGGTTGACAAGGCATAAAGAAATACAAAGTCATAAAATGCTCACACCCGAGTATGGGTAAACCAGATTGGCACCCCAAGAATAAGGGGGTGCAAACACCCCGAGAATAGGGAGGCACAAAGGTGCCAGGAATAGGGAGGTGCAAAGGCACCCCAAAATAGGGAGAGGGTGCTAAGCCCCCCAAAATAGAGAGAGGCAAAGACCTGAAATAGAAACGGCGCAAAGGTGCCCAACACATAGAAACAACAAGATTAGATATTCAGGGTGAAAGCACCCCAAATTTAGTACTATAGCAGAAAGCTGTTTTCATAGGAGAATAGGGCCAGGTTAGGCACATTGGTGAATTGGACTTTGGACCACTGCGATGCAGGCAAAGCAGCCCGGAGTGGAGATGGTTAACAAAAGAAAAAGTGTCTTGTCAACCCTGAAGTTATTCCCTCTATCTATCTCATCCCCTAGGCTAGCTAAGATAAACAGAGGTGCTACCTCAGGCCTGCTGTAAACAACCTTCAACCTGACTGCCCGGCGCCAGGATTTGGTTTGTATTAACCCAAACCCCTATCCACGAATATCTTCAAGACCCCTTTCTCTCATGGCCACCAAGTTAATGTTCACAGATTCATTGTCCCTTTGTGCACGTCCATCGCCATGTTTGTAAGGCTTCTGATCCTAATAAAAATGGGGCAAGGACCCTTACTCGGGGCTCTTGTCTTTTCCCCGACATTACCCATCTCTCGCTTTAATCCTGCGTCCACTCTTCTGCTGACCAAAAGAGAACTTTGTTAGAGTCTACGATAAAAAGCCAACCGCTTCTGATTCAGATGCAATTTAGAATGAAAAAGGTGGGTATGGCGACTCGGAAGCTGGTAAGGTGGAAGGAATGGCCCTGTCAGCAGGAGCACACCCCTGAGAAGGGGGGACAGCAAGTATGAATGGTGAGGCCCAAGATTAACTCAGGAAGGACAGAAATGCGCCGTGAGGACAGAGAGGTACAGAGACCCGAGAGGGAAGTGGGGGCCTCACTTGAAGTGACCCTCCTCCAGGCCAGGTGGGAGGAGAGGGTTTTCTCGAAGGATAAGATGGAAACTCAAGCACAGAAGGTCTTGTAGAAAAAGTCTGGAGCCACTGCTGAGAAGAAAGTCAGAGATCGTCACTGCTGCCAATGTGCCCACACTGGGACGAATGCAAGCAGACTGGCACTTGGTGGGGTGCTGCTTCTGAAGGACCTGCACCCAGCATGCACGCTGGGCGGAAGACCAATGCTTTTGTTTCTAGAAAGCCATGTGGGACTTAACCATCTTCCCCAACCTTGCCAGGACCTACCAAACTACGGTCAGGTAGGGCCCATCCTTCTCCCCTGTGCCAGGGACAGGGCAGAGGAAGACGGGGTCTCTCCTGTCCTTTCTGGCAGCTTAATATATACCAACAAGTTCAAGGAGTACTGAGTAAGCAACAGTGGGTCATGGGCCTCACACCCGGAAGTCTTGGGGTGCAGGCTCCCCACATGGCGAGCAAAGGGGCCAGACCAGACGATTCCCCAGGGAGCCCCAGCTCTGACACAGGACGGTTCGGACAGTAGGTGTTTACCTTCCCGTTCCTCCTCACTGTCACTTTCCAGAAATCGTGAGTCCATGCGGAATCTGTCATCGGTGCCGAAGTGAGACTGTAAGTCCATGAGCTACACAGACACACAGATAATCGATAGCCATGATCCAAGACAGTGCTTCCCCTCCCTCCCCTCACCCTCAAATTCACGTTAGTGTTTGCATAATCTCACCACCCACGAACCCATCAAAATGAACACCGAACACTGGGGAGCAGATCTGGGTCAGCCTGCACTTACGCAGATTTAACAACTGTGTCAAAAACATGGACGTATTACAGGTGTATTTTCAGCCTTTACTAACCTTCCGCCCAGCTCTGCCCTCAAACTGAGGTTTAATTCTGAACCTGTGGCTGTCATCTTCGGAGTCGGATTCCTCATCCTCACTGTCAAACAGCTTCCCAGATGCTCTACTCACAGACTCCTGGAACAGATGCAGACAGAGTTTATTAACAACCGAGACAATCTGCAATTCCTTCTTTTAAAAAAAAAAAAAAAAATTTTTTTAAATGTTTATTTTTGAGACAGAGGGAGACAGAGCATGAGCGGGGGAGGGTCAGAGAGAGAGGGAGACACAGAATCCGAAGCAGGCTCCAGGCTCTGAGCTGGCAGCACAGAGCCTGACGTGGGGCTCGAACTCAATGACCGTGAGATCATGACCTGAGCTGAAGTCGGATGCCTAACTGACTGAGCCACCCAGGCGCCCCTGCAATTCCTTCTTTACGTAATCTTAAGCCCACACTTAAGAACCAGTAACCCAGATGCCTCTCCCAGGAAAGGCTGGACAGTCAGAATGCAAAGTCCTGACTCCGTG